GCAGATTCTTTTATAATAACGGTGCTAGCAATCACAAGAAAAGACGTCAGTTTAAGTTACCTTTTTATCTACAAAATACATATCTTAAGAAGTACATATAGAACTATAGAATAGTTTATTTTTTAATGTTGTCGGATATTTTACCCCGAATTTGGGGAGAATTTTAAAGTTGGTAATCTAAAACATGTCGCAGTGTGCAAACCACATCTTGTGATTTAATTATGTAAAGTGAAATTATTATATTTTAAAAATGCCAATGCATTTTTATTTGTATTCAAAATAAGTGCTTCAAGTAAATGCCTATAAGGATTTAATTACGTAAGATAAGAATGTATGATTTTATCATTTTTTGTAGATATTTCACGCTAAGAGAGAGATAGATAGATAAAGACAAAGAAACGAAAAACGATGATTGATATACAGCAAGAATAGTACAACTTCTTGGGTTACCACACTACCTGTAACGTTAACCCTCAGCTCAATTGTACATTTTGTATTATTAAACATTTTGCAACTGAATTATGGTCTGTGTTAATTTAGGTCTAATTTTTTAGTGTTGCTAAATATGAAAATTAAAATAGGTAATTTATTGATAAAAAAAATAACATGACAGATGTATGCCGCATTAAGTAAGGTACAAATGTTACGAGTAATTACCACGGACATGTTATATTAATAAACACCTCGTTGTAAAAAGTTTAATTTGTTTTATTAACTAGTGTAGTAAAGGTCCTTCAGACCAAATTTTGGTCAAGGCCGTCTTGATGGCCTTTCTGGGGAATTACCTGCCAAATGCAAATGAACAGCCGTCGCGACGGCGTTTTGAAGGAGTGGACTATCGATCACTTGTGAATAGCCGTCGCAACAGCTGATCGGCGTTAAGCCGAGTAGTGTAGCGATACGCACTCGGCTTAAGCCGATTCCACCTCGATTAATGTGGGGACTCCCTTATGGTGCTCAAATGAGGTGCCTCCATCCTAAAAGGTTTTAGAAAATGAGCAGTGTCAGCGGAGAGCGTGAACTTTTAAAATCATAAAAAATCATGGCCCTTAATGACACGAGACTTCGTGTAAAAAATATTTTAATGAGTTTCAAAAATTGAAGTTATCGTTATAGTAAGTAAGTAAGTAAGTATATAGTTAGCGTTCGAAATTTAAATATATGTATTCAAAACAAATATATATATATTTCTAAATTACCGGGCAGGAGTTAGGGTTGCCAGATGGTCGGGATTCGTCTTGATTTTCCCGACATTTCAAATGATCTCCAGACAAAACAAAACACAAAATCTCCAGACAAACAGCTTCTCGGAAAGCTAAGGTATAGCCCTTGATTTAATAAAAGCTGAGTTAGTTATTAGACTGCACTTTGAAGTAAATTGTTAGAAATTTTAATCTTTTATGAATACTACTAAAGGATCCGAATTGGTGGACTCTAGTAAAGTCCAATGCCAAATACGTATGGCAACCTAAGTGTACTTAAATTAGTTCTGTTTAAAGTATTTTCGTGGCCTCTTAATTAAAAAAAATGTTTTTAATATATATCTCTGCCGACAACAACTCCAAAATCCCGACATTTTCAAAACTTTAAAAAATCAAACCAGATATGTTGATCTTCCGACCCGGAAAACCTAGCAGGAGTGCAGAACGTTCAGTGTGGCCCCTAGATTAGTATATTATATTGTATATTAGAGTGCGCTCTGTGTGTTTGTGTAAGAGAAACTGCCTACTTCCTCTTTTTGGTCTCGCAATCGGCGTTAGGATATAGTACTACATTTCTGTTCTCGTGAAGAGATGTCAGACGATAGTCAGATGCAATGCTCGCGCTGCCGGCAATACTTCGCTAAATACTGCCGTAGCAGGATCGAGAGAAGTGTGTATTTACATTCTGCCCTACCACTCACATTACTTACGACTTTCGACTATGGCAGACGTAGAAACAATTACAGCATCCGCGCTGTCTTCTTGTAATAAGAAATTATGTTAATAACTCAAAAAGATATCAAATTCAAAAGATGATAGATAGATAGACAATTTATTTGCTTAAAAACATGATATATAAGATAATCAATGATTTGGAACCGACAGGTTTTGCCCTAATTGGCATGCAAAAATGATATGAAATACAGCTAATTACACAAACCCAATGTTATATTTTAAAATTATTTCATTGCTTAAAAGTTAGGTACAAACATTGAAGTAATATGTACTTAAGTACTAGAACAGCTATTTCAAACAAAAAAATGTGCGCTACTCTGTGTTCGCGCGTTTCTTTTTCTTATCATAGAATAAACATAGGTAGAATGATCAGTAGGTAATAAAAGATTGTACTGTTAAATAGGTAAATTATATCGAGAACAATTTTTTAAATTTTGTCATTTATTTTGTATATTATATTTGCTTATTTAATATAATATTATATCACAATTACATTTTAATGATATTTTTATCTCAATATTTTAAAAGATATCTATCTCAAATATAAAAAACATACTAAAAATGTATGTTTAACAAAACTTGTTAATATAACATTTAAATTACAAATATATTTTTTTTAAATTAGAATAAGAGCTGTTCATAAATACTGGGCACGCGAGAGTTAAAAATTGACGAATTTATTCCACTTTGACTTTGATGTGGAAACCTAAAAATAAAATATAAGAATAATTAGCAGATTTAAATATAAAAAATTTGGCCTAATTATGATAACTCATATATGTTTCTCCAAAAAAATGTGTACCTATATTAATATATTCGTCCTATATTTAAGTACCCACAGAAATGTCGCATCTGAACAAATTAATTTCATAATCTATATTACGTGACACAAGATGGCGTCTTAGGAATAATTTGTTTTGTTACTAATTTATAATACTTTTTTTATTGATTAAGTATCTTATTAACCAATGAAAAGTAATTCCTTGGTTTTTACTGACATTTCTTGAATTATTTGTGCAATATCTAAGTACACACGACGGCATATTTTTATCACGAGATTTTTTTTTAAATTAACACAACACGTGTCAACTCTACAAGCGCCTAGCGAGTGACTGATTAAAGTGCAGTGTATGCACCGCAGTTGAATGGAACATAGTAGCTGAATGCAGTGTCGCCTCTAGTACGTAGTACATATTAGCTCAATGGGTATAAACATTCTTTTTGAATTCAAATATTATGTACAATTAAATACTTATACATATCCACTCTATTTGAATTCTTATACAATAAATTGTTCATAAATTATTAATTGAATTATTACATTATTGTTACATAAATAATATTAAATATTATATAAGTTAAAGAGTTGAAATATTAGTTAAGCTATTATTATTTTAATAATTACACTACAGTATAAATTAATTCATAATTTTAACTACAAAAAAATTATAATTTACAAATCTAAGGCTATTATGCAAATATTACCATTTAACTTAATACATTATTTTACATTTTAATAAATAAATAATCAATATGAGTTACTAATTGTTTTTAGAAATAAAATGTCGATGTTCATTTTGAGATTATATAATTTGACGCATTTGTAATTAATTATGTACATAGGTATTATGTTAGGTATCTCAAAAAGAAAATTCGTTTTCGTTGATGACGAAGAATTATGGTTTTTATCGTTGAATTTTACTAAATTACAGGGCCGATTTATAAATAAAATAAATAAACATTGCTAGTAGGCGGTAGTAAACTTATAAGCTCAGATAAGTTAGGATCAGTAAAATAAATATTATTTAATACTTTGTTGTTAATGTTAGTTGCTGCTACACTATGTAATTATGGTTATTTCTGTGTGCACTGCTTACTGTAATTTTATTGGTGGTAAAGAATAAATGTTTTATTATTATTAATATAGTTTTTTCTGATTCCAGCAGTTCTAAAAACTTTATTGTATTTTCATTATTCCACTCGAAAGGCATTTTGGAAGATCGTACTTCTTTAATAATCTATACCAAGTAGTCTTAATGTTATGTGTTTGTCAAATAAATGATCATGTGATAGCTTCGAAAACACTCTTATTTGACATAATTTTTTTATCACAACACAGGTAAGTTGGAAAAACGATAATTTATGTTTTGCATAAATTATATTAAATTAAAGAATAAGATAATGTTGTCGCCTTGTCGCCAAAGTTGCCTTTGCATACGAAGTGTAGGGCTGTGACTTGCGCGAAGTGCGTGGAGGGTCAACGATTTGGCATCGTCGCCGGCACGGCGCCAACGTAGGGTTGTCACTTTTGTATTTAGGTAGTTTACTCTTACAACGAAAATGAAAACAAATTGTTACTTATGTCGATATTAGTTATTCCAATATTGGACATAATTCTAGGTTGTAGATATTAATCGTTATTATGTGAGGGGGGGGGGGTCTATTTGCATTATTTATGTGATTTTATTACTTTTGCATTGGCCGGGGAGTAAGTTACCTATTGTGAACACTAAAATCTCTTTACCGTCGACCTAAAAAAATTCAAGGTCATAAAAGCTTTGCCTATATGTATATCTATACGTCCCTAAAAGGACCACCAAGTTGCTTGTTACACACATATCCAACAAACGATGTTTTTAATATTTCATTAGGAACACGGTCAACCCTGGCACCGGCGCTGGCGCCCGACTGTCGGCCACACTTGTTGACGCGTCTAGCCTCCTCTCTCTCGCAGCATCGCGCGTTTTCCATCTGCGGACACTATGGAAAACTCTTAATATTTCATAGGGAAAACTGCGTGTTTCTCTCTACTGAAAGATCAGTACACTTGTGTCAGGATTCGGCGGTCAGCCTCCATAATCGGTATTGTCATTGCATGAACTTCAGTTGCGAAATGTAGTTAAAAACTTGGTTAAATAATATTAAAATGTATTATAAATATAGTAATATCTATCAGCTTCATACAAAATGCAAGCGTGCACAATTGGCAATACTCATTTAGAGAATTTTCTATTGATTCTTGAAGATTTGGTTTCAAACTAGGATTATCAGTTCTAATAATTAATGATACAAGTATTAAATACGATAAACGGTTTTGTGTTAAAAGTGAATTTAAAGTGGAACAAACTTGATAAACATGAAGAAGAGAAGGTTGGCCGACCGGCTTATGGAGCGTTAGTTGAAATAACTATTCTGGAATATTCGGTAAGTACGGTTAAAATGTTTAAACTCTTTTTTGTGGCTGCCTGTACTTTTAAAATCATGTCTGTGTCCCATATTGGTCTGGGACTTATAACAATTTAAAAAAAAATACAATACGGGTGACAAACGAGCACACAGTCCACCTGATAGTAAGTGGATGCTGTGGCCTATAGACATCTACAATTATCTTCAATTAAGAAATAAAATGGAGATGCGTTGTCAACCGTGAGGACTAAGATGGAGTGCCTCGTTTCCAGTAAAAAGGGTATCCGGTTCTCTACACTCACCATACGAAACAGAGCGGCATTAAGTTGAACAGACTCGGTCGAGCCGACGCATTCGTACTATATAGAGCCGTAATATAGCTACAGCATGGCTCTACATGTTATTTGCCTAACGAAGTCGTAAAAGACTAATGATATATTTTATACGTGGTAGTGCCATACTGCAGCTATAGTATGGTTGTGGCATGAATGGATGGCTGGATCGGCTTGAGTAAGACCACGCTCTCACAGAATACCAGCGTAAAATAGCAGCTTAATACTGCTGTGTTTTGTATGGTGCGTGTAGAGATCCGGAGATCCTTTTTTACTAGAAACGAGGTATTCCATCTTAGTCCTCGCAGGTGACAACGCATCTGCATTTTGATTCTTAATCAAGGATAGATGTAGATGTCTATGTGCCACAGCAACCACTTACCATCGGGTGGATTGTGTGCTCGTTTGTCACCCTATCCTATAAAAATAACACCAAGGCCTCCCCCTTGGACTCGACTGCCTGCGCTCATCGCTGTGAGAGGTAAATAAGAAGATCACCAACTGAGCAACCCCGACCGAAACTGTACTGGCGGTCACTAATCAGCTGGTGCTCCTCAGGATACCACGTGGCATGCAGAAGAAACACACAACGTTGGTGATAGCACGCAGCCTTGTGGAGCATCAGCATTAATGGGCTTGTAATCGGAACATGCACCATCTACTACTTAATGCTACGATCTGCAAAAAAGCTGGTGATCCAATTGCATGATTTCTCGGGGAACTAGTTTCTCGCCAGTTCTGCACGTGTGCTCTGACTTTGCCTTGGTAATGACTAATGACTCTTTTGAAGTATTTGGAGACGGAATTATACTTCTTTTTAAGCGCGCTCAGCCCAGGCACGGTAGCACTCTGATGACTCATCTTATAGCGTATATAATTTACAGAAGCGATAAAACCATGGCTGAGATCTGCTTCCAATGGGCACCACAGAAGAAGGAATAAAAAGTACCACTTCAGCGACAGAATTTTGTATTAACCTTAATTTTGCCCATAAATTGATGATGATGATTTAATATGCGCAGAACAGGATTATAGTGCCCAAGTGTATGCGCAAGCACAGGTGCACTCCCTGTTCCCTTACTCTTATTATCCGATAGGACGGTAAACCGACGCGACCGGAAAGAGATCAGGCGCAGGACCAACGTTTAACTTTATTTCCGAAGCGCGAGGGTGAAACACCGCCGACTTCCTAACTGCGGGCTGTTACTAACAATTTTTTGACAGAAAAATTCAAACCGATTTGGTCTGTGGTTCCCGTTAACTGCGTTATCAGAGTTAGTACAGAAATAAGTTTACTTCAGAAAATTCCTCAATAAAAAATATTAAATGTTTTTTTATTTGCAAATGGAATGTGGTTTTATTACCCCCCAATGCCACACCTATCGGTGAAGTGTTGTCTTTGACAACATTCTTACTCCACGACCAATGCATGTGTCGTTTCGGGCTTTAATAATGTCGTTTGTATAACAGTCATATTTGAATAACGATTCTGGTAACGCGGGCACGAGAACCACAGGGTTTTTGTTGCATGTTGTATACAAGTATAGTTGTTGGTGTGCCGGTAGGTACAAGTCCAGCAGTGGACTGCTGCAGGCATATCGTAATGTTTAAATTTGCTGGAAGCGCGGTTTTTCCCCGTTTGAGTATATTATTTTAAACGAGCAAAAAGTCAACATAATGGTAAGTGAATGCAGTGTATCTTATCCTGGATATATGAACCCAAGACCTCAAACGTATCTAAATACTCTGACAGCTAGGCCACATACGTAAGGCACTCATCTTCAGAAACAGAAACTTTTTTATTCAATGTAGATTATAACAATACTTATTGAAAGTCACTTTTTTAATTTACCACTGGTTCGCAAAAAAAACCTCTGCCTGGGAAGAACCAGCAAGAAACCCAGCGGGACTATTTTTTTTCCAATAATAGCTTGTAACGTTGCACGTACATGTATGCATAATTATAATTAAACGGTTTATTAAAATTAAATAAACATTTAATAAACTAAATAAAAATAAAATAAAACTTATACTAAAAATAATAATTATGTGCATGCGGTGCAACAGCAGTACCAAAAGTCTCCTTATTGTCCTAGGTGTCGTAATAACACCCACAACCTTCGTCAATGCAAAGCAAATAGGGATAGAATATTTTGTTTTGTTTGTGGCCAGGAAGGCGTCAAGTCACCAGACTGTCCGAAGTGTGGCAAGGATAAACCGAGCACTTCAAAAAACTGATAGACCAGCAGAATTGTACTGAAGTCCTGCCACCCAAGTTTGACCAAGAGGATTGGCAGAGCTGGCTTAACACTGTTAATGTTTTCTTCAATTCTTATAAAGTTGATACAATTCTGCTGGACAAACCATTGCATGATCCTAGACCTTACGCTTGTGTACAAATCAATGATTTTAAGCTATTTGGCCTCTTAGATTCAGGCTCAGCTGTGTCCATTTTAGGTGATAAAGCTTATAGGAAGCTAGAGGAACGGGGTTTACAGCTGCATAGGGACAACTTAATTACAGTCACGGCTGCTGGGGGTCAAACTATGACCAGCATTGGCTATATGTTTCTCCCTATAAACTTTTAGAATGATTACCATATAATTAAGTCATTTGTTGTGCCAGACATCAATATTGATCTCGTGTTGGGGATCGATTTTTGGCGCGAGTTTAACATTTTTCCTAGATATTTCTCAAGCATTACATTTTCTAATGCCGCAGTATTGAATGCTAGCCTTAGTACCGATTCTACCACTTTCATACAAGCGTATGACCACTTAACTGTTTCGGAGAGATCAGTGGCGGATGACATCATTTCTCAATTTAGCGACATTTCCGCCGAACGTCGGGGTTTGGGCGAGACGAGTTTGGTCACTCACCGTATTGATACGGGAGATGCTGAGCCAGTTCGTCAAAGGTACTATAGGTTGTCTCCAGAGAAGCAGCGGATCCTTGCCGAGCAGGTCGACGAGATGCTGGCTCTGGACGTAATTGAGCAGTGCGAAAGTGCTTGGTCATCACCAGTTCTCATTGTTACGAAGAAAAACGGTCAGCCTCGGTTTTGCCTCGACAGCCGCAAGCTCAATTCCATCACGAAGCGCGACGCCTATAGTCTACCCTACATTTCCGAGATCTTGGATAATCTTCGCGATGCTCGCTACTTATCTAGTATCGATTTATCCAAAGCCTTTTGGCAGATACCTATAGCACAGGAGGACCAGGACAAGACTGCTTTTTATGTGCCTAATCGCGGTACCTATCGTTTTAAGCGCACTGCTTTTGGTTTAACTAACGCCCCGGCTACACAGCAAAGGTTGGTTGATCTGTTAGCCAGCTGCCCACGGCGCTCCCCCGTGAACAGTCCAACCCCCGGCCCTGCTCGACCACCTCGCGGCCACATAGGGCCACATACCTGACCCTGCCAGTGAAGCCAGACGGGCACTTTTTTTTAAATTATCGGAACCACGCCCACGACCTTTTCTTTTACCAATATATAATTTTTTTTTATGACTGGTTGTTGCCTTATTTTAAACTTCAACCGTCACAAGCTTACAATCATGTTTACAATTAGCAACACAAGACAAATTAGAAATAGCTTGGTACCGATCACCCTTCCCAGGGGTTATTATCATCCATAAATTCCTTAATATTATAATAACCCTTTTTATACAAACTTAGTTTAATAAAATTTTTTGAACTTTGTGTATGATAAATTTTGTATATCCAGACGTAAGGCAGCATAATTAGTAAAGATCTTCAATCACCAGGTCATAGCCAATGGGTGTGGTAGGCACTCGTGGCGTGGGCAATACCAAGGTGCCCAGCCACACGGCCTACTATGTGGCGATAGGCATTGTGGTGATTCTAGTGCTGCTGGTCTTCTGCTACTTCCTCTTCTTCTGTCTGCGAAGAGTCAAAGGTGAGCATAAAATTATAAAACAATATAAACACATAAAATTATAATTATAAAACAATATAAACACAAAAAAGGCACGTATGGCAATTCACAGTGCTGTATTAGTCCCTAATTTAACGTATGGTAGTGAAAGTTGGGAGTGGCAGAAGAAGCACGAGAGTAGAATAAATTCAGTAGAAATGCGGTCGCTAAGGAGTATGTTAGGGCTGAATCTGAGTGACAGGGTGAGAAACTGTGTGATAAAAGAAGAGTGTGGTTTGCAAGATGATGCGGTGACCAGGATTAAGAAAGGAATGCTTCGGTGGTTTGGTCATGTAGAAAGAATGAATGCGGAAAGACTGACAAAACAAATATATGTTGCAGAAGTGAATGGAAGAGTCGGAAAGGGACGTCCTAGGCGGAAGTTTGTCGACCAAATTGGCGATATACTAAAAATGGGCCAAATTAAGAGTACCCTTAACCGACGAGCATGTATGCGTAGGTATATGGATGTGGAAGAGGCGAGAAAGGTATGTCAGGATCGTGCTAAATGGAAGTCTGTAGTCTCTGCCTACCCCTCTGGATGACAGGCGTGAGTGTTTATGTATTATGTATGTAAAATTATAATTACAAAACTTGTTCCGAACCAACATCTTATAACGTCAGTGTCATAACAGACGACAGAGAGAAATAAAATAGACATTTGGGATCAGCATTTTCCCGATTACAACTCGAAATAATAAAAAAAAATCTGCAGTTCTCACGTGGTAGAAATGAAACCTTCAGAAAGGTGGACAAAAGTGGAGAGCCTATGAAGCACCGTGCAAACAGGAGAGCGATATAATAGGAAACACTGTATACTGTATTCTATCTCATTCTCTCGCAGACTAAATCCTATAGATGTATATGTTTGTCTCTTTCTAGTGTAACTTTTTCATTTTATCTAGTTACTAATGACAACGATTTTAAAGTTTGCACTAAAACAAGTGGTAAAATTTAAATTTTGTGTGATTTCCTTACAAATAAAATTAGAACATCTTTAATGAAATGAATTAAATACGCCTTATTAAGGATAACTCAAAAACTGCAAGTTAGATCTTGAACAACTTTATATGGAATTACAAAAGAAGCATCAGCTGTTAAGTAAAAAAAGAATTATCAAGATCGTTTCACCTAGAAAAAAGTTCTGAGGTTGTTACCTCAGAACTTAAACATAAAAAAGTCTGTTAAAATGTATTTTTCAAAACACCTGCTTAGCGTTTTAACTCTGGCAGACATTCCCATACGAAGAAATGTATGGGTAAGACCAATGATCAGCAGAGAAGTTCTGATAGGTCGTAATAAAAAAATGAACAACCCACAAGCTGTGAACATTGCTCTATGTGATGACATCCGAATCCCATCTTCATTAAGCAGAACCTTAGTAAGAAGAGATCCAGGGCTTTGTCGATTCTTTTCTGTAGTGGCCTAGCTGTCTTACTTCAGTACCGATGGTACATTTTGATGTTCATAATGTTTTAAATAAATAAAATCTAAAAGACGTCGACTAATACCGCTGCTTGGTCTGCTGCAGAGCTGTCACACCAAGAGTTCCAGGAGGTTCACTCCGTGCGCCCGCCACCGCCCCCGATCTCCCCGACCGCCTACCCGGTGCAGCCAGGTACTATAGCTTACTGTCACCTAGATCCTCCGCTGTGGTAGTCCAGGAGTGACTTGGAAGCATATTAAGTGGGAACTTATGTGCCTGGAAATCAGTCTGATTAGTTACCAACTTTTTACCTGCTTGTTCCGGCAAATGGCAATGCGTGTACTACTGTTTTCCATGCTGAAAGTAGAGAGTCAGTACAGTAACAGTCTATAACGCATTTCGTCCCTTTTCTATTACATGCTGTGAGGTATCTTAGTTCTCAGAGGAGACAACGTATCTGCAGCCTTCCGTGTTTGATGCTGGCTGCAGCTGTTTGGACTGTAGTAGCCACTTACCATTAGGTGGACTGTAAGTTCGCTTGCCACTTCAATGTGTTTGTGTGTACTTGTGTGCGTGTGGGCGTGCGTGCGTGCGTGCGTGCGTGTGCGGTGTGCGTGTGCTCGTGCGCGTGCGCGTCGCGTGCGTGCTTGCGTGCGTGCGTGCTGCTGCGGCGTGCGTGCGCGTGAGCGGCGTGCGCGTGCGATTGCTCACATTTTGATAACACTTAAAGAAAACGAGCCCTAACTGCCAACACCAACGAAATCGCTTAGGAATGAAACGAAATGTTTACAGCCTGTAATTATACTGGCTCTCTTACCCTTAAAACCGGAAAACAAAATGGCACGAAATGCTGCTTGGTGTAGCCAAATAGGTAAGAGTGTGGCACTCGGCCGGACGGGTTCCTCTGGCAATAAAGAATCCCCTTCACTTAGTGGAGAATGTTTCCGCAAACTCTTTATAATATATTATTTCGTTGTGCAGGTGTTCGCGACAGTGCCACAGCAATGGCGATGCTGTGTCGATCTCTACCACAAGACACCGTGTTCCCCACCTCACCAGCATCTCCTGCGAAGGGAGTGTCCGCCTTTTCTCCGAATTCCCCTGTCCTTTTAGCCTCACCCAGTAGACTCCCAATGTCTCCAACATCACCTAGCCGCAGGACGTTTGCGTATTATACTTCGCCGAGACGTTCTTTGACTCCGACCTCACCTACCTGCCACCGCAGGTCTCTGGGTTCGCCGAGCAGGCTGCCCTTGTCCCCCACGTTCCACAACCATAGAGGTCCCATGTCCCCATCACGTAGAGCGGCCACGGTTCCCGCGCGTCGGGTCAAGTCACCACACAAGCCTCCAGTCATCATATTATCTCCTGCAGATCATGGCTCACCACCGTTGCGAGCTCCTACTGTGATACCCATGCGATAAGTCCTATCGAATCACGAAAATAGAAAAAGAAATGCATTACGCACTTTAATATAAATAATTAGTCTAAATGTTTGTCGTTGATGTAATTTCGTTACGAAAGATAAAGAACTGTGTTGTTTCAAAGTTTTAGAAATTTTAAAACATCAAAAATAGAACTAATGAGGGCTAATAATTTGGGACTGAAGTGAAGTTTTTTGTTTATACAATGTCATTTAATTGAGAAGTAAAAACTAGTTTTGCCTTACCGAAACTAGTTTTTACTTCTTAGGCTTAGCTTTGCTTAGCCTTTTACTTAATTTTAAGCCTTAGCTTAAGGTGAGGGGTAAGCTACTTCCCCTCCCCTTAACTTCATATTATGCGATCAACCCAGGTATCGAATCTGCCAAAGATAAAATCACAGCGTAAAAAAAAGTATTAACAATTTTATTGGTACCACGCAATCCCGCTGCTATCAATGAAATTCTTAATAATTTTTTTTAATGATAAGTTACTACGTGCTCGATAGAGGAAGAAAAATCTGCATGTCCGAGAAATAAAAATATAATATTTCGAAGACGTAAAGTCCGCAAACACTCATTGGAGCACCAGCGGCGCGGCGGACACTTCCTTGTACTAAAAACTTCTCAAAATGTGAGAAAGCTTGTGCAAAGCAGTGGCACTTTTATAGGGCTTAACCAAAGACTTCTTGTATATCTACTAGACCGGCAATTCTGGAAGAGTTTAACTGTCAATCAATAAATATCAATCTGGTTTATAATTAGTGACTTTGGTGTAGTTACTGCTTTGCATAATATGACAAGGAAACATTATTATAGGTAATATTATGTATAATATAATATTTAATCTCTAATCTAATGCCTATTTTTTTATAAAATTTTATGAATTCTAAGTTTATCTTATCAAAACTAGTCATATTTAACACCATTTTTAATGCTAAAGTGCGCTATTATTAGACGTGAAATATTAAGAAAAAAAATAAAAGGAGAGTGCCATTATACTTACAATGTAATGGCGGTATTAGAATATCCACTACCCCATATCATCCCGTGGATGTCGTAAGAAGCGACAGAGGGAAACAAATCAGGAGCTGGGCACCAGCGTCTTCCTGATAATGACTAAAAATAAAAAACAGCGGTTACCGACCTGCTAGCTGACTCTGGCAACTGTGACAAATATTCTATATTCAGCAGTGGACTTTAATAGGCTTTAACGGTAAGAATGTCTCTATCCCTACATTTAAAAACACATAATTCGCTATATACTGCCCTATCCGGACTAACCTCAGTCGTCGGGTTTAGTTGATTGTTATGCGGAGGCTTTTACAGTTATATTGGACTTAACAGACCTCTGTTGTAGTCGAAATTCAAAACTAAGTTATATTTTTTATAAGCAAATTGACTACTAGCTATCCCATCCTACCGGATGGTAAAGGGAGATGTACCGGAACTTAGCAAGACAAAAGTCTCTTCACATCACATTGTAATCTGCAGGAGAGACATGCTAGCAAATTATTCCAATACCCTAAACATAGGCCTCCCCCAGAGTCTGCTCATAGATAGTCTGCCTTGATAATCAGTCTCATAGTGGAGATAATTGCCATAGCTATTTTATGGTTGTAGCACGAATGGGTTCGCTCGACCTGGTAAGTACCACGCTCTCACAGAACACCAGCGTAAAATAGCAGCTTAATGCTGCTGTGTTTCGTATAGTAAGGGTGGAGAACCGGAGACCCGTTTTACTGGAATCAACGCGTTCCATCTTAGTTCTAAGAGGTGATAACGCATCTGTATTTTGATTCTCAATCGGGGTTAAATGTAAATGTGTATAGGCCACCGCATCCACTTACCATCATAGAACAACCCGGTGGACTGTGTGCTCGTTTGTCACGCTTATTCTAAAAAAAAGTTGCCACGTCTGTAAAGCGGGTTGTCAAACGCAGTTTTTTTTATTTTTAGTCGTTATTAGAGAGAAGCTGCTGCCCATCTCCTCCTCCTCCTCATTTTACAAAACACAGGAGCATCAAGCTACTGTTTCACGCTGGTATTCTGTGACAGCGTGATCCTTCCCCGATCGAGCCGACCCATTCGTGCTACAGCTAATAAGTATAGAAGCAGCGTGGCTCTACCACGTATGTATGCGGTAGTGAATATTCCAGAATATTCTTACACCGCTACAACACGGTACACGTAATCCGAAAGAAACACAGACGTTAGCAAGTTATTTCAAGTAATTATGTTGAATAGTTTGCCAGTGTTATTTATTATCAACAATAAAAGTGATATTATATAACACATGTAACTGCGGCTCCTAAACTACTCAGGACCCTTGCATGCGATTTTACAAAGTGGTTTGTCACCGAATCTAATTAACTATTACACGATCGTTTATATCATTGGAGGTTATATATAAGTTACGCTTCGGATTCGAACACGCATTATATTATGAACGAAGATGCACACCATAGTAAAAATATTTGCTTTGATTGCGCGGTATATCGATTACAGCTGGTTTAGGTACATTAAGTAGGTATAAAGTTGTATAAAGTTATTTACTTAACCTATTTAAATATTAATTATATCAATAATAATAATACTGTGCCAAACGTTGCTCTTAAATTCCCAATCAATAAAATGTTATAATTAAAAGTATAACTTAAGTTTACGTTTGTTATAGAGACTGCTTCTTCATCGTAAATATTTTATACTTTTAACCGACTTCAAATAGAATGAGGCTCTCAATTCTAGTGTACGTTTTTTTGTATGTATTTGACGCGATATCTTCGCAGATAATGAATCAACGATTTACGATTTTTTTTAAATTAAATATTTTATACTTCAAGGAGTACCCATATATATATATATGGAGAAAATATTCCACCGGTAGCAATCTGGAGTCGATTTTATATTATAATTATTGTGACAACGTTTTGTTGTTAGTCACTGCGACAATAAGTAGTCATTGCCATTATACAAGCTTTATATTTTTACATTCGTGTATTTTAGAATTATTATAATAAATAATAAAATTATTTATTATAATTTGTTATAAAGAAGACTTAAAATATATGTCCGTAAAAGTAGGTAATCATTTAAATAGACACATATTACTTCTTATAGCTGGGGTACCTGTCCGAGGCACTAGGTACATGGACATGCACGTCCATCCTTAAAAAGCAGGATTTCTCGCTAGGTACGTTAAGAATGCTATTGGTGTTCCTACGAACCTTGTGCATCAGTGACGCAGTTATTTTGTGTATAAGAGTGGAAAAATTATCTATGTGGGCGCTATCAAACCCTGATACACTACAGTAACGTAGGAGCGTCAGTAACAACCCAGAAGCGTTATTATATACTGTACACGTAAGTTGTTACTATATCCGTCTTCATGATATGATATAAGATGATAAAGAGGTTGGCAATAGGCCAAAAAGATGTCTATGATTATAATCAGAGATCAGTTATTTCATTATCGTTGATTGCAGTTATATTTGTTATGTTGTTTAGAAATATTTCAATTGATATTTGTTATGTTGTTTTTACTTGATTCAAGTTTTTGTTTTAATTGATGTAAAGAACCTTATGAAAAACTTTTTCTTGTAATTAATAACGCAAATTGTGTATAGATCTACCAATAGTATGTGTGTATATGTTAAATAAATATACAGGGTTAATATCCAAATATTATTAAAATTCAAATATATAAGTAATGATACCGTTAACCGTTATTGCCGTTTTTGAAAATACGAACAAATAGGGCATCAACTTTTTTTTAAATTATCCCAAATTGAATGTGATTTATTGGCAACAACTACGCGTACGCGAGCTCCTCTGTGTGCGGTTCAATTCACAAGGTTTTTGCCGACCGAGCGACCTTTACGAATGTGTGCGTGCGTAGTAAAATAGTAGACGTTAGATATTTATGAATGACAATCAGTCAAAATAATGCATTATAAAAAGCATTCTGAATTTAAAATATAAAAAGGACAGAATGTTCGAGATCTTTTTAAAATTAATTGTTCTTTACCTTTCGCACCAACTCTGTTTTGGGCGTATGTTGCAAAATAATCCTGTATATTATTTGAAGTTATTGCTATACTTATTCATCATTAAAAATACAACTTATAATTATTTTACTGGATTATTTAACTCGAAACGGATAGAGTTTTAATTGATCTTTCATAGGTGAATTAAAAATACTATTAGTGTATGTGCATTCAATATACGTGCCTATTGTAGATAAAGTTAATTCCTGTAAATGAAATCATTATAATAAATTTATAAGTAAATAGGTAGCACTTTATACAGTAGCTAAATCTTCTGATAGCTTGCATCAGAGAATTATATTATCGCTGTATGAAAGTCCTGGAGGTTAAGGTAAAAAGTTAATATTTAATCTATTCTATACATATAAATAAAATTGAAGTGTCCGTCTGTAATAATGAAATAACTGGCTTGTATTATCTTTAGGGTGTTATTTGCACGCTATTGGGACAGAAAAAACAAGTATTAAAATTTTTGTCTGTATGTCTGTTTGTATGGAGTAATCTTTGGAATAGTTGAACCGATTGTGATGACTCTTCTCTGTATCAAACTCTTTTTAAAGGCGCTGTCACAAAGATTTGGCTGTATGATCTACAATACCTTCGCCTATTAAAAACCTCAATTTAAATCAAAAAATAATAACACCAGGGAATAAGGAGGAAGCGAATTAATTTTTAAAATGTTTTTAAAATTATGAAGTGTCCGTTCTCTTGCAATAATTGTTATGTAAATTGTTATAAAAAAACTAGTAATTATTGTAAAGGTTTCATGCGCACTCATAGGCCATTTTCAACAATGTCCTTTACAAATAGGTAGAGAGCATTGCCAGGAGAGATCTAGGCTATATTTTAACCAAAAATCTAAAAGAAAATTTTGAAAAAAAAAAAAAACGAAATATGATACAATAAAAATGGTCCAATAAAAATCCAGACGAGGTAGGGGCTGGTTGCTAGTCATAAATATTGTATTATTGTACTTAGAACGGCTGAGTATCAAGCGTCCGGTCGGTCGTCCTAGGTACCGTTTTGGAATACCTTATAGCCAATGAGTGCTAATAATCTTCCACCAGATGTCGCTAGTTGTGGCTGAGGTAAAATTTTTTGTCACATAATGTTAGCTAATTGAGAAATTAGATATAAATTGTTTATCAGTTTTTAGAGTGTTATATACCTACACAAATACAATGCCTCAGTGGTTTGATTTTTAATGTTTTGCACTTTGCAACTCTTTTTTTTATTTTTTTATTTATAATCTAATGAGGGCTGCACGACTTTTTCTGCCACCACGGCGGAAATACTAAAAAATGAGGTGTAATACAGTGAATTTCGGTTATAACGACTGCAGATGGACGACTTTAATGTCGTCGCTATATCCGGAGGTCTCTATATCCGAAATAATAAAAAGTCGTGTACATATTTACCATCATTTATTTAATTATGTTATACACGGGTGTTATTGAAAAAACGTGTTATAGTGCACTGTTTAAATTTAGTTTTTTGTGCACGCTGTAAGGTGTATTCCATTTTCAGAACTCCTTCAACATCTAAATTATTTTGGCCTTCACCAAATAAACAGTACTTTTGAGCGTTGTTATAGCACATAATGCATCTCTAGTTGTTGGAATCTCATTTAGATTGCAATCTTCATCCTCCTTTTCTTGTGTACAGACTCAATAATTTCATTATTAGTCAAGTTATCAGTAGTGATAACTTGATCGCCAATATTCACATAAGTTTCCCAATCCGTAACTGTTGCTTCCTCTAATGATAATCTCGCCAATGGAAAATTATCCAATTCATCACCAGAATCGTCATCAGTTGTATTTAAATTCGAAAATTTACCAAACCCAGCATGTGAAAAACATTTTTTAATTGTATCTGGAGTAACTCGGGCCCATGCTGTTGTTATCATTTCAATGGCATCCAGAAAATTGACGGCAAATGGGATAGTACTTTTTTCTATGTCTTTTACCATTTTCTCCACTAGAAGCTTTCGATAATGGCCTTTAAGAGTCTTAATTATACCTTGATCAATAGGCTGAATAATTGATGTGGTGTTTGGTGGTAAGAATGCCAGTTTGATGTTAGTCAAATTTTGAATTTGTGGGCGAGTTGGACAATTGTCAATAAATAAAATGATCTTCTTTTTGTTTCCTCTTAGCTGAGAGTCCCATTTCCGTAAAACTTTTTCGAAAATCTCCGACGTCATCCACGCTTTTTTGTTGGCTTCGTAATCAACTAGCAAAGTTTTTACATTCTTGAAACACCTTGGTTTTTTCGCCTTCCCTATAACCAGAAATTTTCGTTTTTCGCCTGCCATACTTGAAGCAACATTCACGGTTATTCTATCTTTTGATAGTTTGCCGCCAGCACACTTTTCTCCTTTGAATTTTAGTGTTCTATCTGGAGTCAATTTTAAAAAATAATCCCGTCTCTTCAGCGTTCCATATTTGACTGTCGGTATACCCTGCAGTTAATTTTGGTAAAACTGTTCTCAACCAATTGTCACAGTCATTTTGCGACACGCTGGCGGCTTCTCCACAAACTTTACCGACCACTATATTATGACGTTGGCATCCATCTGGCAAAATGATTAGCTTTCTCTTGCAAAAGAAGACCGCTAATGGGTACATTTTGGCTTTTTTGAGCCTTAAACCACACTAGGAGAGCATTTTCAATATCTTGATGAGTTGGATTACGATTTTTCTTTATTTTCAGAGATTTTGATTCAAAACACTCCATAATTTTAGCGCGGTTTTTCCACATCGTTGATATTGTAGAATGTGTAACTCCAAATTGTTTACACAGATCAACATTGTTTTCTCCATTTTGCAGTCTCGAAACGATGTCCACTTTTTTCTTTAACAGTAAATGTACGTCTAGGAGCCATATTCACAAGTTTAAGAAACACTGTTCACTCACTGGAATTGCTATGTAACTGATTCACAAGTTTAACTTCGTAAACATGCTACGTAGTCCTACATACAAACAAAGCATTAGTTTGACCATCTGTGAATGTAAACAAAGGATAAGAAAGCTTAATAGTTTTATGAATGAGTCTTTGTGCCTTTCCCGACTCAGTCGCATTATCCGCAAGGGATTTCTAGGTATCGGTCATAAATGGTTCATAAAAACAAGTCGCTATACCCGAAATTGACGCTATAACCGTAGTCGCTATTACCAAATGAATTTCTTAGGAAAGTATGCTTTAAATTCAAGGGACGAAAGTTTGACGTCGCTATAACCAAAGAGTCGTTACAACCGAGGTCCTTATTAATGAAATCCACTGTATTTGACAGATTTCATAGCCGAGAAGAGAAGAAGAAGAAAAAATGTAACGGTTAATGTTTTTTTTTCTATACCATAAGTTATATTTTATATTAATTAGATAAGAAATAAATAAACCAAAACAGATATCCATAAAAGTAGAAAAATAAAAAAAAAGAGTTAAAATGAGAACAAAACACAGAGGCATTGTTTTCTATACTAATATAATACACTAAAAACTTATGAACTTTTATTTAAAACTAACTTCTCACTTATGTGATAATATTATGTAACAAAAAACTACACCTCTCAATATAAAATAAATACATTTTACTAAGAAATTATCTTTTCCGCCTTCGATCAATAATATACTGATCGAAGTTCCCCGCTATCTGTCGCCATTGCAAAGTGGCGCCGCCCTGGTGTCAGAAAAAGTTAATCCGTCATCAGCATGAACTACTTCAAAATCATAAAGATCTAAATGATATTTTTAAATAAAATTATACAAAAATGTTGGTATATCATGTGATATTTGTAAGCTTTTGTAAAAATGTTAGATAATAGAGAAATTATGAAAATCATTTTCTAGAAAATCTTTTCCAAACATATTCCTATATTTAGATTTCCGATGTCTTTAATATTTTAGATTGAAATTTGTGCCAAAATATATCCGACCAATCCTCGTGTATATTATATGTTGTTTCAAATATGCTGTAAGCTACTGTTACAATACCTTATCTTTGCTAAGGCTTTTTATATTATGAATAATTGTATATTGAAGTGTATCTAATTATAACAAATGTTTGAATGTTGTAATATTATAATTTCGCTTAGTGAAAATTGTTAAATTACGCTTATGTATCAAACGGGTGTACAAAAATAATGTATTTATAAAACTTATTGCCTGTTTCAATTTTATAATAAATTTAATGTTTGCGAAAATGTTTTTTTTTATATTTTTTTTTAGTTTAGAGACGTTTGTTATTTTTTGATATGTCAGTCCCATTGTACCATATTAACACAATACAATTAATTAAATTACTTAAACTAAAGGATACACTATTTGAGTAGAATTTGGTAGTTGTTGAGAGAAAATCCTTTGATATTCACCTGTGTTATACATTTAAATGTTATTTATGGCGACCAGTAATTTCCTCTCGTAAAAGTTTTTTTACGTGGTAAAGCGACGCTGTAGGTGTTTACAGTTGAAGCACGAATGGGTCGGCTCGACCGGGGAGAGACCACGCTCTCACAGAATACCGACGTGAAATGCTACTGTGTTTCGTATGGTGAGTGAAGAGAACTGGATACTTGATAGGAAACAAGGCATTCGACCTTAGTCTTTGGGGATGACAACGCATCTGTATTTTCATTCTAACAAACATACCCATTTAACTATTTACTTTGACAAAAATTACCTGTTTGGCAATTTTAGTACACTTGCAACAAGTACCTTATCTCAGTAATTATTTTACACTGACGGAATGCTAACATTAATACGGTCTGTAATAATTATGATATACCTAGGTACTATATATAAATGGTATAACAAACTGTATTGCATAGGTCATTGTTATCGAATGAGAAGACGAAAAATTCACGTTTACCGGCCTTCGTGGGAGTTTCCAATTTCATTCGCAATCTGTTAAAAACAAATGACGTTAAAAAATTATAACTACATGATGGTATCCGTGAAAGAATCCTCTTCCCCTTATTCCATGGGTGTCGGGAGGCAGGTGGGCATCAGCAAACGTGGCGACTATGACAAATGTCTTTCTATTGAAGCAATCTATAGCCCATAAGCCTAAGTACGGCAGCGGATTTTTAATGAGCTGTAACGATGTAGTTTTTTTTAAATATCTTAAATGTAACTGTGATTCCTATTATTCTTTGTTATTAAGAATTTAGTTTACGCGTCGTCTGGGTCTTGATATTATGTATAGTTAGTTAGTTTTGATTGTTGTAACTACAAATGTATGAAGTTGGAAGCAACTTAAATTAATTTTTACGTGGCAGTGTCATGCTGAAGTTGTGTAATGGTTGTAGCGAGAATGGGTGACTCGACCCAGGGAGGACCACGCTCTCACAGAATACCAGCAGCGTAAAATAGCAGTTAAATGCTTATTATATTAATATATTCATATTGGACAGTTTTATCTCAATGACAAGTACTCTTTTCTCTTTTTTTAATATCCATTGGTCCCACCATTGCTAAGGCAAGTCCTATTTTCTGCTGTTTTGATAAATAGGGCACCATCGATCAAACGTGAAACCCCGTCGATACTTTTTTACGAATGCGCTTCGTCACGATTTATAATTCATTTTAGTGTAATGTGATCACTAGCTTCCAATTTAGGTTTCTAATTAGATTTTCTAAAAACTGTATTTCGTATGGTGAGTGCAGAAAACCGGAGACCTTTTTTACTGAAAACTAGGTATTCCATTTTAGTCCTCAGCTTTACTTTTCGAGGATAAGTACATGTTGCTGTCTGTGGGCCGAGCACTCACGTACCTTCTGGTGGTTCACATTTATCAGCCTTTTTCTATAAAAATGAATAAATGATGATTTACCACGTGCTCGGAGGTGAAAAAAGACTTTGTGGGAAAACGTTCATACCTGATTTTTTTTTAAATTAAAATGTGTATTTGAAATAAGAGGGGTTCTGTGTCCAGTCATGTAAATTTTATAAACTAAACTGTGATCACAATAAATTAAATCAATTTTACGGATTTCATCGCGTTTTAGCTTTTTAATTCAATTTATTAGATCGGACCAAGACTTCAAAAGCTGAAGGTAGTCGGGCTAACTATGATTGAGACGTTAAACACTGGGGTGAGGACCCGTGACCATACGTCAACGATACGTCGGGAAGTAAAAGGTTAAAATTAAAAGCGATAAAATTAGTAAAATTGGTTTCGTTTAATATGTAGTATTCCCGTAAATTTTTTATATTTTTTTATAAAGATCATTATGTTACAAAATAATCAATATTCACTTCATTGATTTTATAGCGTATACTAAGTTAATAACTTAAATCACATTTCCGACGTTTCAAGTACTTTACAACATCCATTGTCAAGGGTGGACTCAGGTGTTCGACGTCCTAATGTCATAGTTAACCACGGCTACCTATTGACGCTATAAAAACCGTAAAAACTAGTTTCAATTAAAGATATCTTTGCCTGCAACTCAAACTAATAATGAGTATAATCTTCTTGATTTACAATTTATGTCTCTGTAGAGAGAACGAAGGTTGGTGAAAGAAATAAATAAAAAACGTAACTTGAAACATTTTTATTAATTTCTGTTTGTAACAAGAATACATCTTCTATTGACACCGCAATCAGTAAAGCGATATTTGAAAAATATGTGGATTTGTCGATACACTATAGTTATTAATTATTATATGTTAATCTTTACACAACAGGAGAACTTTACGTAAAAATAATTTCTGTGTATATGTAATAATTTTTCCTTTATCGTACATCATACAAAATATTTAATTACAAATCAAATTCGGTGTAAATTGGTGTTAATATACCAATATTAATATTTAACCATAGCTGAAATTGTACGCTCGAATTTACTATCAGCACAAAGGATATCTTTTACAAACTTTGCACGAATAAAAGCGGGCATAACGACTAATATGTGTATTCTCTTAATATATATATAAATGCTTAGATTAATACATGTCTGAAAATTATAAAGTTATAATGTATTTTTTCCATTCACATTCATAAAATAGATTTTATGTTTTTTTTCTTTGTAAATTGCACTTTGTCAGTCTTAGACCAACAAAATAAAACAGACAGAGCGCTGCCAATATTTAAAGTGATGCCGAAAACATGCTCAACTTCTTGACGCACAGATCATACATCTTTTTTCTTTCTTTCTATAACCAACCGTAAAAATCTTCGGCTATAACTATATAAAGGAAGGACGCACACATATGTATCTAAAACTATGTTGCTGGTTGCAAATGATATATGGATACATATGTGTGTGTGCGAGCGTATTCTTACAATAAGTTGAGCATTTTTCTTGAGTTTTGCTCGCGTCTGTCTTTTTTGTTTGTCCGAGGTATTATGAATACTTTGAGTATTATTGACATAGAATTACAATTTAATTGACTAAATGTAGCTAGGTAGGTAAAAGTTATTTAAAACAATGAATGTATTTAACGAAATATACTTACAGTTTGTAGCTAAAAAAATAACTTATTAATAACAACAAAATAAACATAAGATTATTTCAGTGAGACCATCACTATTTTCTGTCCTTTGTTAAAGTGTGACTAAAATTAAAGCTGGCTGACTAGAACGGCAGGTATAACTTTTTATTTCTTTTGTTCAGGTAGTACAAAAACATTTAATTTTTATTCGCAATATACAGCCATAAAGGTGTACACTGGTCACCACCGCGCTGGACCGAAGCCCGGAGCCCTTGTTGCTTTTACGTTTTATACGAAAAAGCTGTATAAGCTTGTATGTTATTTTATTTTGTAATGTTAAAAATATAATTTGTATCTATTTTATTTTTGTTATTTTAGATAGTTTTATCATAAACCGCTAGATATATTTCGAAATAAATAATATTATTATTAATCCTTAATAATATCTATTATGAGATTGCTTCCCTTTGCATACTTTTGTAATAGGGGTTGCTATAAAGAATAAATAAATAAAAACGAATCACTATTAGTTATGACGTTTAAATTACAATTTGAAATGAAACCTAAAATTAATAAGAAAATAATATTTGGAGCTTTTTACAGTTGAGCTTCATAACAATGAGCTTCATAGTCAATTTACGTGAAGTTTTGTTTTACAAATTTTATGAATACCTAAAACTAAAAATGTTTTATTTCAAACCCAACTTAGTGGATTATTCATCATCATTACAACTTTTCACAAGTCCACTACTGAACATAGACCTCCGCCAAGGATTGCCACAAAGCACGCTCCTGAGCCACCTGCATCCTTCGACTTCCCGCATGTCTTACCAGCGTGATCCTACCCCGGTGGAGTCGACCCATTCGCAGCTCGACTCGTGGCCACGTTCGTGGTCTGAAACACCTGCATCCACCACTTGCCTGTATCCAATCAGTTGTATTTAATTGGACGTAATTACACAAAAAGGAAATAAGTAAGGCACTCTCTATAAGCCAAAATAATTCTTAAGGTTTGTACTTTCATATACCTAGTTGCAACTGTTTCATGAACAGACCCTGTCAATATATAGCGAAATTACAAATAATTCGAAGCAAGCAATTCTCACTATTTTTGTACATTAATAAATATTGAATAAAACTGCATTTACGGATTTTATCGCGTTTATTTCACTACTTTTACTTATTTTTAATTCCCGACGTTTCATTCTTCGTTGTTGTCTTGCTTCGTTGGGGTCCAGTCCCCCCCCGTGACCATGGTTGCTGTAAAGCACCCGAAACGTCGGGAATTAAAAATAAGTAAAAGTAGTGAAATAAACGCGATAAAATCTGTAAATTTAGTTTTATTCAATGTGTAGTGTTCGCGTAAATTTAAGAAATCATTAATAAATACATAAAAAGTAAAATATTTTGGATGGAATTTATGAAATTGAGTAGAATTAGAAGTATAACTTTAATAGAAAATAATTTCTAAAAATATCTAATTTTAAGACAATTTGAATTAAGTCTTGACTTTTTTGAAAACAGGTTAATTTAAAAGGTAATAATATTCTAAAACCATCAAGTGCGTATTTTAAATATTGATTGTAATGTATCCGCTTTAGTCGTATGATTAAATTTTAGCGTAAACTCTTTTTTAACTTTTTGATCTAAAAATATACAGATCAATGTTTTCCCACACGTAACAAACATCGCTATTTTTCTCTATGAAGGACTTGAGTAATGTGAATATTTAAAGTTTAATATAAATTAAAGTTTATATAGCAGTTTCCTTTCTCTGAGAGATGGCTATCATCTGCAGCTCGTCGTAGGCCGGGGGCGGCTCGTCGCAACATTCAAGATCAAAGTCCAGGTCACTTTCTGTAAACAACAATACTTTTACAATTTTGCGATAATTATATTATTATACTGAAGAACGGACTGGAATTAAATCGTCATGTGTTACTACTGTAATAATCCTCCAGACCGAATTTTGGTCACAGCGGCCTGCTTCAACGGAGGCTAGCCATCGGCGCAGGACTGGATTAAGTGCCGGAGTGTATGCGCAAGCACAGGTGCACTCTCTATTCCTTCACTCTCATAATCCGATGGGACGGTAAACCGACACGACCGGAGAGGGATCGGCAACGGCTTTACGTGCATTCCGAGGCATGGGGATGAGAACATCGCCAAGTTTCTGACTCCGGGCAGCTACTGAGAATTTCTCGATGGAAAAACTCATAATTGATTTTTTCACCCGACCCGGGGTTCGAACCCAGGGCCTCATGATCAGCAGTCGTACTACTACAACCACTAGACCAACGAGGCATGTGTACAGGGCGAGGTACTGTACGGTGTACATGGGGCACACTGAAAATTTAGCGCTACTGACCGCTAATTTTTTTTTAAATTTCGAATGTTATTTCGTTTAAATATAAGAATGTCGTGTATTGATTAGAAATATTATACGTCGAGAAGTCATGTGGCAATTGCTTTTTTTTTATCACAAGTCTGTCATCTGTAATAACAAATGGAATGTACGCGAAAATTTTTAGGATATTTGTGTCTACTTCGATGAACTCCTAAGTAGTAAGAATCCTTTTTATCTAGGAATCCGTCTGGGCGGCCTGTAGCAAGTTGAATGTGCTCTGCGCTGTTCTGTCTGAAGGGTATAAAGAGTCAGTATAATTACAGGCTGTGTTCCTGTAATTATACTGCATTCCATTTTGGTTCTCAGGGGTGGTAACACATTTGTAGTCTATATTTTTAAGGATGGTTGCAGGTATCCATCGCCTGCAGTAGCTACTTACCATCAGATGCTCTTACAGCAAATTTTCTATCATAAAAAAGTGTTTTCTTATATTTACGCGAATACTACACATGAAAAAAAAAATATTTATACGGATTGTATCGCCTTTCATTAACTTATTTTTAATCGCCGACTTTTCGGGTGCACACACAGCGCCCATGGTCATGGGGAAGACTGTGATGTTTGACGTCCAATGTCATAGTCAGCCCGGCTACCTTCAGTTTTTGAATATTAATTTTTGGTCCGATTTACGCAGAACGAGCTTACAGTATCTTGAAGTCTTGCAGGCTTTCGATTTTGTCTATTACTAATGAAATGTAATTGAATTGTGCTAACACTACACATTTAAATGTAGCTAGGTTTTACAGATTTTATCGCGTATTACTAGTTTAACTAATATTAATATATTGCCGACGTTTCGAGCACTTTACAGCACCTATAGTCACGGGGGACTGACGTGTTCGATGTCCTACGGCTACCTTCAGATTAAAATTATCATTTTATACTTACAATATCTTAAAATCTTGTGGTATGCTTGGGTTTTATATTTTATTAATTATAGGATCCCAAGCAGATGGCAGCACCCATCCATCTTGTCTATTGAAATTAGGATGTTTTTTGGAATTTCAATAGGCTTGCGTATCATCCTTGGTAGGAATCGGTGTTCTTTTGAGAGGATTCGTGGTTTATCAAATCTGATGTAATAGTGGGGACGATCTTGAACATGTTTACACTGACGTAAAGCACCGACGCTCCGGGAAATCTGCACTCATTTTTTTTAATTTTTATTTAATAAAAAAAGTCTTATAAAGGGGGTATTTTTGTTCACAAAGGTGTTTATAGATTACCAGAAAGTGCGGCGGAGTGTGGACGCAGCGCAGGAGCCAGCACGTCGCCGGCGCTGGCGTGGCGCCCGCGCAGCCTCCGCCGGGACCCGCCCCCCTCACCCCCCTCGCCAGCCCCCATCGCCAGCGGCGCTATTGGAGACACTGTCCCCTCTACATTGCGAACATACAATTTTAATATCAATAAAACAAATGCTGCTCGAAAATGATCGCGTGAGGCTCTACTGGGACCGGGCCATCATCACAGACACGACTATTCTAACGAATACTAGGCTGCGCTAAAAGTATCGGGAATGGAATACTTCCACTGTTCCTGTCATATTAAAATCTTTTTAACTGAAAACTCCTTGGTTTAAAAATCGAACACCATTTATTTATTTAAAAAAAAGATTCTCGGTCTTGTTACAAGGTTTTGTCAAACTTGTTTAGTCGTTGAGAAAATGGAATTGACTCGAGAAAATTCAAGAGCCATGATTTATAATGACTTTCAAAGTGGTTTAACACAAAAACAGTGTGTTGACCGGATGATTTCTGAATTTGGTGATGATGCCCCATCCAAAACCACAATTTATCGCTGGTTTGCTGAATTTCAACGTGGACGTGTCAAACTCAGTGATGATCCCCGTCAAGGTCGTCCAAAAACTGCAGTCACCCAAGAAAACGTTGATGCTGTGCGTAAGCTGATTGAGGAAGATCGACATGTGACATACCGCGAAATTCAGGCAACTTTAGACATTGGCATGAGTCAAATACAAATAATCTTGCATGAACAATTAGGTGTAAAAAAGTTGTTTTCCCGATGGATACCGCATTCGCTCTGTGAAGAGCAAAAAGCGGCTCGCGTTACTTGGTGCGTCAGAACTCTCGAAAATTTCCATGCAGGATCCTCAAATGCTGTATACAACATTGTATCTGGTGAGGAATCCTGGATATATGCGTACGAACCTGAAACAAAAAACCAGGCACGAGTTTGGGTGTTCGAAAATGAGTTAAAGCCAACAAAAATTGTTCGTTCACGGAGTGTTGCAAAAAAAATGGTGGCCAGGTTTGTCTCCAAAACCGGCCATGTTACGACTATTCCTCTTGAGGGACAAAGAACGGTTAATGCAGAATGGTATGCTAGCACTTGTTTGCCACAGGTCGTTTCTGAACTCCGTAAAGAGAATTGCAACCGCCGCATCATCCTCCATCACGACAATGCGAGTTCTCACACCGCACACAGAACAAAAGAGTTTTTAGAGCAAGAAAACATAGAATTATTAGACCATCCGCCGTACAGCCCCGACCTAAGCCCTAATGATTTCTATACTTTCCCTAAAATAAAGAATAAATTGTGTGGACAGAGATTTTCATCACCTGAAGAAGCTGTGGACGCCTACAAAACGGCCATTTTGGAGACCCCAACTTCCGAATGGAATGGTTGCTTCAATGATTGGTTCCATCGTATGGAAAAATGTGTCAAATTTTCGCGGAGAATACTTCGAAAAGCAATAAATACATTTTTAAATAGTAATGTTGTGTCACTTCCTTGATTCCCGAAATTTTCAGTGCCACCCTCGTAAGCCTGATATTGTGCTCATGGTGTGCCCGGACCGTCAGTCAAGGATATTTTTGGTCGACATTACCATTCCGTACGACAAGAACCTCGTGAAAGCCGAAACAGATAAGAAGATCTGAATCAGGCTCACGAGGTGACCGACATGTGGGGTGGCCTGCCAACCGAAATTATTCCTGTAGTCGTGTCTGCAAACGGGCTAATCCCAGTCAGCCTCTCGGGTCATGTGAGGCGGCTCGGACTCCGTGACGGACCGCTCCTGGCTCAAATGCACGCGGCGGTGCTCCTCGATGGCACCCGCATCGTCCGCCGGTTTCTTTCCCTTTCCTCCTAACCCTCGGCCGTTTGGTCTCCCCTGCCGAGGGCTTCCATCTGGTTGGGCTTTTATTTATTTATGTATTATTGATTCTATCTTAAAAGACTTCTATGTATAATACAAAACGGGCACTACGGTACTAATACATTGCGCACAAAGTTACAGTGAATTCTCCGTAACTCCATCAGTCGACTGCGAGCGGCCGAGAAGACTAGTTCATTGTTTTGTAAACCACGAACGTTGTTTTCTACAATCTAACGCTGACTTTGTTTGATAAGACTAAGAAAACGCTGCCGTTATTTATGTGCGCACATTGTCAACGTGATTTGTAGTTTATTCCAGCTGTGGCAGAGTTTTTGTTATGAATTGCAGGTCCATTTGACTACCCTATATCATCACGAGGGTGTCGTACGAGGCGACATAGGTAATTGAAAGAAGGGATGTTTCTACATAGACATAAACTCTAAATAATTAAAACTACGGTCGTCAACCGCTCGGAGGTGCCAAGCCTGGCGACAATGGTTAAATATTTCCCCTATGATGCCTTTTTTTTGTAGTCCGTTATAAAAAACATACTGAACGTAGTGGCGGTGTAAGAATATCCATTACCGCAGTTAATTATTCTTTTATGTTAATTAACACATTATGTTGGGCCTTAGTACTTGATACAACCCAAAACTTCGCGGTTAGACTAAGATGCATAGTTTAGCATTATGATTGCAATACTAAGCGGTAAGTGTAATTCAGTAAATAAGTGATCATCATCATCATTATTATCATTACAGATTTTTACATACAAGTCTGCTGCTGAAAATAAGCCTGCCTCAAAGAATACCTCAAAACGCGATTCAGAGTTGGCTACAACCATCAATTTTCTACATGTTTACCAGGTCGTCGTTCCATTGTAGTGGGAGAACGCCGTACATACAATAAAATAAACTATACATACACTCACAAAACGAAATACAGTAGCGTTAAGCTGCTGTTTCACGCTGGTATTCTGAGAGAGCGTAGTCCTTCCCTGGTCTAGTCGACCCATTCGTGCTACAACTATACTACTAACAGCTAAATTGCAGTATGGCTCTACCACATTAGAAAAACTAAAAACTTCGTACGAAGAAACAGAGACGAGTCTAAATAGTTCTTACCTACTGGAAGTGGTGAATAAGGAACCGAAGGTGTGTCACAGTAATTTGACCTTTCTTCAAAATGATGTACTGCACCGGATCGATCGATGTCTGGCGGATCCTCCATCTCAAACACCCCTGAAACTTGAAACTCTGTTAAAGGACCCAAAATGTTCCTTGGTCGGTCCCTAAATTTGATCGACTCGTTCAATGATTGTTTAACATCTTTGCCTTTAAATCGTTTTCGGTCTTCTGCGTTTCCTTCTTTGTCTTCACGTATGTTTTCTTTATTGAGCATGCAAGATGAATCACCTATATAGAAATTGGATACATTAGAAGTTAGTTCAGAAACATCCTCGTCTTTTATATCATCAGCGGTTAATTCTTTGCGTGATGTCTCAGGCGCTTCACTTTTCTTATTGCGAGAGGTTTTGATATTAGTATAATGTTTTTTACAAGGCCTTCCGATTATTTCTTCATCGCTCTTATGTTTCGAATGTGTAACATGACCTACGTTCACAATTTGTTCATAATTTGGAGCTAAAGTATTGGAACTGAGTGCAGTAACAGGATTGAGTGGTATATGTAGATCTTTAGTGGACCTCTCCCAGTCCCTTCTGTGCACGACCTCGTCAATGATGCTGGGGGCTGAGTGGTAGCGATTGTCATCCTCCCGGTTCTCATGATGTGACTTGCGACGGCTGCGGATTTCTTCGTGACTTCTGTGAGCTGACAGTGGCTGCTTTTTGTAACCTGGGCAACATTAGGATAGATGATGTAGATATCTGGTCTGGTATAGGTAGCAGGATATTTGATAGAAAGATTTTGCTGCAGTAGGCTGCAGAATACTTGACGAAAATCGGAGACCCCTTTTACTGATCACGAGGTATTCTATTTTAGTCTTCAGAGGTGATTACGCATCTGCATTTTGATTCTTAAACGTGCATAAATGCAGGAGTTTTTTGATCACAGCTTCTATTTACCATTAAGTAGGTTATGTACTCGTTTGTCAAACTTGATTATAATAAATCAACTTGATTATAATCTATAGGCAGCAGGATTAAGAGGATTTTGCTGCAGTAGGCAGCAGGATATTTGATAGGATGATTTTGCTGCTGTGTTTTGTATGGTGAGTGACAAAAATCGAAGACCCCTTTTACTGATCACGAGGTATTCTATCTTAGTCTTCAGAGGTGATAACGCGTCTGCATTTTGATTCTTAAACGTGCATAAATGCAGGAGTTTTAGGATCACAGCTTCTATTTATCACGATTATGTACTTGTTTGCCAAACTTGATTATAATAAATCTACTGACTTACGAAAATCAAAATGTAGGTGCATTATCATCCTAGAGGTTAGTAAAAGAGGTCACCGGTTTTCCACACTCACATGCAAAGTCAGGTCATCATCATCATCATCATCACAGCCCTTCACAAGTCCACTGCTGAACATAGGCCTCCCCCAAGTAATGCCACAAAGCACGGTCCTGAGCCACCTGCATCCATCGACTTCCTGCATATCTTACCAGGTCGTCACTCCATCTAGTGGGGGGTCGCCCTACACTACGCCTACCGGTACGAGGCTGCCACTCGAGAACCTTTCTTCCCCATCGGTTATCGGTTCTTCGAGCTATATGGCCGGCCCATTGCCACTTCAGCTTACTAATCCGTTGGGCTATGTCGGTCAATCTGGTTTTACTGCGGATATCCTCATTTCTGAGTCTATCACGCAGTGAAACTCCGAGCATAGCCCTCTCCATAGCTCGCTGAGCGACCTTGAGCGTCCTCATACGGCCAGCAGTGAAGGACCACGTCTCTGATCCGTAAGTCATCACTGGCAACACGCACTGGTTGTACACTTTAGTTTTCAGAGATTGAGGTATACCTGACGAGAAGATATGTCGTAATTTCCCGAACGCTGCCCAGCCGAGTTGAATCCGTCGATTGACCTCTCGGTCGAAGTTGGACTTACCTAGTCGGACTATTTGTCCCAGGTAAACGTACTCGTCAACAACTTCGAGCATAGTGCTCCCAACAACTACCGGCATAGGTGTGACATGGACATTAAACATAATCTTTGTTTTGTCCATGTTCATCTTAAGACCTATCCGTTGGGAGGCACTATTGAGGTCATTGAGCATAGTGCTTAAGTCCTCCAGCGATTCTGCCATAAGGACTATATCGTCGGCAAATCGAAGGTGAGTGATGTACTCGCCATTGATGTTAATACCGTATCCTTTCCAGTCCAGTAGCTTGAAAACGTCTTCCAAAGCAGCGGTGAAGAGTTTCGGGGATATAACGTCACCCTGTCTTACACCTCTCTGCAGTTGGATAGGTTTCGAGCTCTGGTTCTGTACTCGGATAGCCATCGTAGCCCTACTGTACAAACACTTCAGCACTTCAATATACCGGCAGTCAACTTGGCACCGCTGAAGGGACTGCAGCACCGCCCAAATTTCGACGGAATCAAAGGCTTTCTCATAGTCCACATACGCCAGGCAAAGTGGCAAATTGTACTCTTCAGTCTTCTGTACAATCTGCCGCAGGGTATGTATGTGGTCTATGGTACTGAAGCCTTTTCGGAAACCGGCTTGTTCGGGAGGCTGGAAGTCGTCGAGTCTGCGTGCGAGACGATTCGTAATGACTCTCGAAAACAGCACGTAGACGCGGCTCAGAAGGGAAATCGGTCTGTAGTTCTTCAAGAGAGCGTTGTCGCCTTTCTTAAAGAACAAGACCACCGCACTTCTGCTCCACGCCTCTGGAGTAGTGCCACCATGGAGGACGGAATTGAAGAGCTTCTGAAGGACTTCAAGTACCGGTGTTCCACCCGCTTTCAGAAGCTCCGCTGTAATTCCATCCTCGCCTGGGGCCCTGCCGTTTTTAAGGTGCTGGAGAGCCATTCTAATCTCGCTTAGACTGACGTCCGGGATATCATCGGAATAGTGTCGGATAAGACTTGCTCTTGGATCGTTACTCACACTTGCGTGTGGCTCCAACGATGATGTGTACAGCTGCCCATAGAACCTCTCAATCTCACTCAAAATCTCAGGTGTCCCGGAAACGATGCTGCCACACTCAGTCTTCAGCCTTGACAGTTGGCTCTTTCTGGCAGACAGATCTCTGGCAAAGACTTTGGAGCCCTGGTTCCGCTCGATCGCTTCTTTAATACGAGCAGTATTAAAGTTGCGTAAGTCTCGCCGCATGCATTTGGAGATCTGTCTGTTCAGTTGCCTGTATGCTGTCAAATCTGTTGACGATTGCAGCCTCATCTCCCGTCTAACAGCCATGAGATTAAGAGTGTGATCGGAGAGTTTTTGTGTTCTTCTGCGGCGGGTCTTGCAGAACTTAGCTCCGACCGCATGGACAGTTTCCACGAGCTTGTCATTCATATCGTCCACTGCATTGCAATCTTGTAGGCACTGAAAGCGGTTGTGTAACTCGAGCTGAAAGTTTTCGGGATTTTGGATCAGAGCACGAGGGGGACGGAGCGTTGACTTCATTAGACGAGACCTCTCCAACTTAACGTTTAGGTTCAGTGTGCCTCTAACCATTCGGTGATCGCTGCCAGTTTTCACCCTTGCGATCACTGAGACATCACTGAACAGTTGGCGTCTGGTCGTCATAATGAAGTCAATCTCATTTTTTGTCGAACCGTCGGGGGCTCGACCAGGTCCACTTCCTGTGGGGCCGCTTCTGGAAGAAAGAGTTCATCATAAAGAGTCCCTCTTTCTCCATAAAGTCGGCCAGCTGCTGGCCCCTTCGGTTCCGTTGCCCTACTCCAAATTTCCCTAACTTCAGCTCACCGCTTTCTCTTGTGCCTAGTTTTGCGTTGAATCAAAGTCAGGTAGTTGGTGTTAATTAATTGGATGGCCTATTTACAATAAAATGGGGCAAAACAAAATTAGCAGCGAGTGCATAGTTCCCGATCTACCAAGGCTCTTTTTAATAGTTTCAATGTCCGAATTTAAAAGATGACCTATAATTTTCTAGTGTTTTCATTGCGGCACTGACCTGATGTGCTGGGAAGGTGCAAGGACACTGCGCTGCTGCCAAAACGACGTCCAAATAGGTCACTGGAGCGCCGCCGACCTGATTCTGGAAAACCAAATGTATTTGAAGGTCATTGTTGATGGAGTTTCCATTTTTATGTACTTACTTTCTCTTCTTCGTCTTCGTGGATTGTTGATAATATAGCCAGTGAATTTTGAATCCTGGTTACGACCCATGCTTTTGTCAGTATGAAAAATAAAAACAATACTATAACGCTTTTAGGTTGTTGCTGGGATTCCCACGTCACTGTAATTCATCAGGTATGTGTTTTGACACCCACATAGATTATTTCTCCACTCTTATTTTACGCACGGAGTTTGTAGGAACACCAACTGCATTTTAACGTAATTAGTGAGAAACCCGAGTGTGCTTTTTCGTGGCACTGAGTGCACGTACATGTCCATGTACCTAGTGCCTCGGACAGGCACCAAAGGTATATGGTGTAATAAGGTACGTGAGGGTAATACGGTCACCTTAGCTTTACCGCCATATAATATCAAAAGTAGCAAGAAGACAGCGACAGAAACACAAGGTCGTATACTATAACTAATATATTAAGAAAAAGCTTGCTAACAAGCTTTGGTAATAATTAGGAACACTTCGAAAAGTCTACTTGGAAAACCTAACTACACTACATCATACTACCGTAACATCGAGTAAAATATTTACTATAATATCATCTGTAAAAATGGCGTCGATAAAACATCGTTCTTTTCACCCTTTATTATTCGATTGACCGATGAACAGCTATCGTATCACAAAGCCATCCATACATATAAGGTAGTTTTTGAGTTATAAGAAAGGGAGCATATTAACCAGATGCATATTACCGGACCATATTACCCTCACGTACTATATCTGTTTATTTAAATAATTACTTGTTTTAAAAACTTTTTTAATATTTGTAATAAATTATGGACTATAATATAGTCTGCAATCAAGGATTTATTATTATTATTAAGAATATAAATTACTGCTTGTTGTGTCTGGATTTTTAGTGATTGCTCGCACGTCTCTAACACTGCTTGAATAGCGTTCCCCCTATTCCATCAGAACAGAGTTCTGACGGGTTACGAAAAAGCGTGGACAAGTAAGTAACTGCGCGTTTTTCGATACATTCATTCTATTACATCAATTACTACTGCTCATAGGCGTAAGAGGCCGTAGAGGGAAACCAATCAGGAGATCTTCATCAGCATCTTCCTGATAACAAGTCTAAATAATAAAAAACTGCGGTTGCCAACCCACTTGGCAAGCACGGCAACTATGGCAAAATCCCCCCTTTGAAGCAATCTGTAGGGAAAGTCTGTGTTCCGTCACCGTTACTGCCTACTAATGTCCTCTGCTGAATTGTTTCAGTTTCCATCTGCGGCCTTTTACGACACCCACGGGCGACATTGGGTGGTGGATACTCAACAACGCCACAGTGGTCGATATGTACGGTATTATAATATGTCCTGATTAGCTGATAGTTTTGATTGCGTAGCCAGAACATGAAGCCGTAGTATGAGTACAACAGAACCCTTATCTTTACAACATCTATTTATCTCATACCGGATTTTCCTAGCTTATATATAATAACAATGCAATTGCATATCTTAAATAACTCACCATTAGTGATCACTGGTTTTTTGGGATGTTTTCCGGAGCTAGTGTCTGAAATAAGAATTTATAAATGATTAGTAACTGATGTTATTATAATGTTTTTCAGGCTGAATTTCCAAGTTCGGATCTGACCTGAACACGCGCATGATTTTATTCCTCCCTCTCCTTTTCACTCAGTAAGTTTCGAAATCTTTGTTGTCCAAATGTTCTACACATTCAAGTCGAACTAAGTGAAGGTGTGAAATAATTTTCCAACGTCATCATCATCATTGTAGGTTACAATGATGACGATGACGCTGGAATGGATGGCGATCGAAGTCAACTGTTGAATATAGGTCTCATAGGGAGAATATCTGCCATAGTTGCCACGTTTGGCAGGCGAATTTGCATCCGCAGTTTTATTTTCTAGTTGTTATAAGGAAGTTGTTACCCATTTTTTTATAGAATAAGGGTGACCAACGAGCACACAGTCCACCTGATGGTAAGTGAATGCTGTTGCCCACAGATTCTACATTTATCCTCGATTAAGAATCAATACGTAGACGCGTTGTCACCCCTGAGGACTAAGATGGAATGCCTCGTTTCCAGTAAAAAAGGATCTCCAGATACTCACCATACGAAATTCAGTAGTATTAAGCTGCTATTTTACGCTGGTATTCTGTGAGAACATGATCCTTCCCCAGTTGAGGTGACCCATTCGTGCTACAACCATAATAAAGCTGCAGCGTAGCTCTACCACGTGAAATATTCTGGTATGTTTTCCTCTATCACCTTTACGTCAACCCCAGGACGAAAAAGTGGAAATTGTTAAACCGCCATAATACATTCATCATCATCATCATCATCATTTCAGCCCTTCACAAGTCCACTGCTGAATATAGGCCTCCCCCAAGTGACGCCACAAAGCACGGTCCTGAGCCACCTGCATCCATCGACTTCCTGCATGTATTACCAGGTCGTCACTCCATCTAATGGGAGGTCGCCCTACACTACGCCTACCGGTACGAGGCTGCCACTCGAGAACCTTTCTTCCCCATCGGTTATCGGTTCTTCGAGCTATATGGCCGGCCCATTGCCACTTCAGCTTACTAATCCGTTGGGCTATGTCGGTCACTCTGGTTTCGCTGCGGATATCCTCGTTTCTGAGTCTATCACGCAGTGAAACTCCGAGCATAGCCCTCTCCATAGCTCGCTGAGCGACCTTGAGCGTCCTCATACGGCCAGCAGTGAAGGACCACATCTCAGATCCGTAACTCATCACTGGCAACACGCACTGGTTATATACTTTAGCTTTCAGAGATCGAGGTATACCTGACGAGAAGATGTGTCGTAATTTCCCGAACGCTGCCCAGCCTAGTTGAATCCGCCGATTGACCTCTCGGTCGAAGTTGGACTTACCTAGTCGGACTATTTGTCCCAGGTAAACATACTCGTCAATAACTTCGAGCATAGTGCTCCCAACAACTACCGACATAGGTGTGACATGGACATTAAACATGATCTTTGTTTTGTCCATGTTCATCTTAAGACCTATCCGTTGGGAGACACCATTGAGGTCATTGAGCATAGTGGTAAGGTCCTCCAGCGATTCTGCCATAAGGACTATATCGTCGGCAAATCGAAGGTGAGTGATGTACTCGCCATTGATGTTAATACCGTATCCTTTCCAGTCCAGTAGCTTGAAAACGTCTTCCAACGCAGCGGTGAAGAGTTTCGGGGATATGACATCACCCTGTCTTACACCTCTTTGCAGTTGGATAGGTTTCGAACTCTGGTTCTGTACTCGGATAGCCATCGTAGCCCTACTGTACAAACACTTCAGCACTTCGATATCGACATAATACATTACTCTGGTATATTTAAGACAAAAGTGAATAAGCTTTTGGTTCATTAAGGTAGTAAGATTTACCATCTATGGCTTTATAACCACCTAATACTATGTGGTATTATAATCAAACACTGGCTTTAAACTGGGTAAAACGTTAAACCCTAACAGTGCACTAATGAGTCAAAATATGTTGACCGCAAATGTCACAGATGATAGACAACAGGAAATACCGGCTCTACTTTCAACAACTCGCCTGGTTAATGTGGTAAATAGTGGAAACATTACAAAGGTCTACGTCCAGTAATGGATTTTATATTTATATTTTATGGATACTATGGCTTGGTGAGGTTGAGGAAAGTATTTATATATTTACACTAATATTTAGGCTGGATATCATACACGTGTGCCACATGACGTGCGGGTGTTTCACTAGGTGTGTATCACTGGGTGATTTAATAGGTTTGTATAGTGTCATTGTGTGACGGATCAGCGATCTTTTATTAGACAATTTATTATATAGATGTTTATATTATTTAGATGAATATTTAGGCTGGACATCATAAACGTGTCAACATTTAAGTGTGGTTCACTAGGTTTGTGTCATTGTATGATGGATCGGTGATGTTTAGGGTCAAAGTGATCAAGCGTGAGGAGTACAGCACAAACCTGAATTGCCGTCATCTGGCCAGCAGCAGAGCCAGCACAGCATGAGCAGCGGCGCGCAGAGTTCCACGCCCAGAATCGCGGTCGCGCCGCCCATGTCGCTTACACCCATTCACCTGAATGAAATAGAAACAGTGGCATAGTGGTCACAGCACCCGGCTGCTACAGAGCTACGGTTAACAAATTCAAAAATAATTCAAAAATAAGTTTTCCTGGCAAAATCCCTGACTTTTCAATAAATTTCCTGACATGGAAGCTGGGGCAGCAAAAATATTTATTTGTAAAAACTTGTGCATGTACGCGCAATATCTAGCAATAAAATGTACGAGCCAGATTATAACAATGAAACAATTTAAAACAATCACATAAAAAACAATGTAACCGTTCAGATTTAATTAATTTATCATTAGTAGTTTTTGTAATTAAATTGTTTAATAAATATTTTAATTTGCATTTATTATACTTTTCTCTCACTATTGAAAATTCCTGATAAAATTTAAATTTTACCTGACAAAACCAAAAATTCCGGACATTTCAGGAATATTTTTATCACTTAGTATCCTATCACCCTATACGAGGCCAAAATTTGTGAGTAAACACAAAATGTTGGTTTCAGGTTTGTGTTGTGATTATCCGAGGGTAGTTAGAAAACTACGATCTAAACTTCTTAGGACCAAGAGCGGGTCAAAGCGCATTTTTAAAGTGATAGAAAATAATTATCCTCCTCCTAATTTGTATATTTATTTATTCATAAATTTGCACTACTAGAGTAGATACAAAAATATTAACAATAAAAATATTTATTATACATAAAATAAATAAACAATGCTTCGACCTTCTACTTCTACTTCGCGGTTTGCACAGCATTTGTGAAATCACAAGAGAAAAATATTTTATGCAAATACATAATATACTTACATAATAAGTGCATTCATTCGTGTAATATGTAAATAAAATATTTATTAATAGTTCAAACTTACAAATCACAATATATGTCGTTTAGCCCCATTTGGATTTAGGTAAATTACGATTATTACGCAATGCTCTAAAAGTAGGAGATTTGCAAACATTGTTTACAAAGGGATCCCCTTTGTAGACAAGTTCTGAATTTAAACTTTTTGCGAGGGACCGTAATATGCATCTATTAGAGTAATTCGGGGCAATCCACTAAGTTGTATGTAATAACAGTAAGTTTAAGTAGTAATGGGACGGTCTTTAAGGTCAAAGCAACCGATGGGAAAGAGAAGTACTTGAGTGGCAGTTTCGTACCGGTAAGAGAAATTTAGAACGGCTCTCCACTAGATGAAGTAACGACTTGATAAAATATAGGAATATAATAAGTAGGAAGTAGGTAGATACAGATGACTCAGGTTCATGTTCTGAGGCATTCCTTGGTGATGGACGGTGATGATAACAGAATGTAGATTTAAGGTTTTCTATAGAATATGGTTTTCTTTTATAGCATTGGGTGACAAATGAGCACACAGTTCACCTGATTGTAAGTGGATGCTGTGTACCATAGACATCCATATTTATTCTCAATTAAGAATCAAAATGCAAATGCGTTGCATCCCCTGAGTACTAAAATGGAATGCCTCGATTACAGTAAAAAGGGTCTCTGGTTCGCAGCATTACGCTGCTATTTTACGCTGGTATTCTGTGAGAGCGTGCTCCTGCCCTGGTCGAGCCGACCGATTCGTGCTACAACTATAATATAGCTGCAGCGTAGCTCTACCATGTACAAATGGGTGGCAAACAAACACAGAGTTCATCTGATGCTAAGTGGATGCTGTGGTACATGGACATATAGATTTATCTTCAATTAGCAATCAAAACGCAGATGCGATTTCAGTAATAAGGGCCTCCAGTTCCTCTCACCATACGAAACACAGCAGTATTAAGCTACTATTTTACGCTGGTATTATGTGAGAGTGGTCCTTCCCCGGTGCTAAAACCATACTATTTCTGCAACGCGACTCTACCATTTGTTGTACCAAATCGTTAATTAAACTTAACTCTTACCTCTGACGGTCTCAGCTCCTCAACTCGCTGGGACGGGGTTGAATAAGTTAAAGTCAAGGCGTCCAGGCCGGGCGAATCAAGGAACCATCTGCTCCTGGATCCGGGTTAGGAAGAACGGCAACGTCTGTTGGAGTTATGAGAAACAGTTATTACGTTTAATGTAGCTACAGTAGCTTAATTACTAATGGCACACACACTGCCGAATAAAAGGTAGTGAATTCGGGTCCCCCATTCGACTCTTGTTACGATCTACTATAAACACAAGCTATTAAAACTTACTGGAGAGATTAAAGGGAATATAAGTAATGGCAAATAAAGAAATCAGTAGCTGGTGGACAATTTTTAGTGGATGCTTTAATTTTTTTCAGCTAAAGAATCTGTCACTGTGCAGTGGCTGCAGAAGAATATCCGCTACAGTGAACGTGCCGCAGGTGCCGTGCGAGATGACAGAGGCAAACAAACCTTGAGATGAGCAGCAGCGTCTCACCTAATGATAACTAAAACTAACTTTTTTTAAATAGTTTAAGCATCATCATTGATACGTGGTAGAGCCATGCTGCAGTTATATTAGATGTATAGTTGTAGCACGAATGGGTCGGCTCGACCGGGGAAGGACCACGCTCACACAGAATACCAGCGTGAAATACTAGCTTAATGCTGCTGTATTTCGTATGGTGAGTGTAGAGAACCGGAGACCGTTTTTACTGGAAACGAGGCATTCTATCTTAGTCCTCAAGGGTGACAACGCATCTGCATTTTGATTCGTAATCGTGGATAGATGTAGATGTCTATGGGCCACAGCAAACACTTACCATCAGGTGGACTGTATGCTCGTTTGTCACCCTATTCTATAAAAAAATCATCTGTTTAAGTAATTCCAACTAATGTCATTTTATCACATAATATTACATATTATGTAGTAAGTCTTCCTTCACATCTCTCACTTTTGTAATTTATCCTATAGATTATTATCTGATTAAGAGTAGTAATTAAGCCTCTGTTGAAGTTGTTTACTGGTCCTTAAATAAATAAATAAATAAAAAAACTTTTGCCAAGTGTTGCTTGGCAGACGGGTTGGTAAATACCCTATGAGGCAATTCAAAGGGGAGCCCTATGGTGGACTTTGGTTCTAACGGTAAGGAGTCTGTTTAGACTGCATTACCAGCACTACCAGTTGGTATCTCTGCTAAGCGGAGTATATCCTCCTATTGTTTTACAGTTTAAGAATCATGAGGAGCCAGATTTTTTTTAATAGAATAAGTGTGACAAACGAACACACAGTCCATTTGATGGAAAGTGGATGCCGTGATCCAAAGATACTTCCTACACTTTCCCTGATTAAAAACCTTAATGTAAATGTTTTAATACAACTGAGAACTAAGGTAAAATGCCTCGTTACCAGTTAAAAGGTTCTGCGTTTCTCTACAGCTCCACACGCACCATAAGAGAAACACCAGCATTAAGTTGGTATTTCACGCTGGTATTATATGAGAGTGTTTTCCTTCTCCAGTCAAGCCGATACATTTGTACTGCAACCACAATATAGCTGCAGTATAGCTGCAGTGTGGCTCTACCACATAAAATTACAACACATAAGATATTTTTACATAGTCTTCAAAGACGACTACGAGTCGCTCTAATGTTATAAAATAATACGTACCTCATCCTTCCGGGAAAAAACTGTACATTTATTCCTTGTACTAAATACATGTAGATTTAAAGAATTGTATCATTCCTAATTACTATTAAATTTTAAATTAAAATAATTCATTTCTGCTCTGCCGTACAACCGAACACCACCAACTCGAATAACAGTATCTTTACGAGACAACAGGAGTCGCGCGCACGTATCTACTGCTGCTTGGACACATCCGCGCGGGAGATGAGACTAAGACCTGTGACACACTAAAACTTTTTTCTATTTTATCGATCGAACTGTATGTAAAGAAAGAAAGAAAGAGAAATTTATTTGGCCATTTCTTTACAAGTTTTACTGGCAACATTGTAGAAAGCGTAACTTATAAGCTTATAATTAAATTAAACTTTATTATACACTAACAAGGAAAAATAAATGGTAAATAAATGCAAATCTAAAAAGATATTTTCCATAGTTTCCGCTCTTGGTAGCCGTAGATATATATATATAAGTATTTTGAATTTGGTATCGGCTATAACTAGATGATACTGCACATCTCCTGGATAATTTTCTTCTGTATCTTCTTACAGGATGATATGTGCTAGTATACTGAGGCCGCCACCACACGGCGCTTCAAATCCAACTCGATATATAAACATGGTAGAGCCACACTACAGCTATATTATGGTTGTAGCACGAATGGGTACTCGACCGGGGTAGGACCACGCTCTTGAATAGCAGCTTGATGCTGCTGTATTTCGTACGGTGAGTGAAGAGAACCGGAGATTCCTTTTACTAGAATCGAGGCATTCCATCTTAGTCCTCATGGTTGACAACACATCTGCATTTGATTCTTAATCGAAGAGAAAATGTCTATTATAGGCCACAACATCTCCTTACCATCGGGTGGATTGTGTGCTCGTTTGTCAACCTTATTTTATAAAAAAATGTATAATACATACTTTCTTTAAAACGACAATATTAGTTTTAATTTATTCTGTATTAATAGTACATAGTATAATTGCACATGGCTAGTAACTTTTAACAAACATAAAGTACAAATTTGACATCTTATTAAAATTGTTTTCACTCAGTGTGCCCACACCCGAGGCTGTGGCGCCGGAGTGTCGCCGCTCATCGATCCACCGTCCTCTTCCCTCTCATCTCACTGGCCTTCCCCTGGCAAACCACTGATTGCCCTTTCACTCCGTTATCCAGATGCTTAATTAGGATTAATAGCGCCGGAAAAAAATTCCAGCAATATTGTTGTATTTCTCTTGTTGTTTTTACATGGGGCCTCACTACAGTTGGTTGTAACAGTGGCTGAAGAATACATTCACCAGAGAAGGAACACTCTTTTACAAAATAGTAGCATAAAATAGCAACATAATGTTGTTGTGTTTCGTATAGTAGGTGTAGAGAACCGGTAATCCTTTTTA